GTCCACCTTTGCTCCCTTTCTGTTAATCTAATATTTCTGTTGTATTTATTTGGTGCAATAAAGAATATATGTATTTAAACTTTAATTGTACCTTACCTGTATATTTTAAAGTTAAATTAACAAAATGCAAATTTAGTTCTTGCAGATTGTTTCATATCGATACCTCCAATAAAAACTATACAGCTTTATTTTATTTACTAATATTATGACCCCCGAATTTCGCGGAAAAAAAAGAATCAAAAAACAAAATTCGAGAAAATAAAAAACAAAAAAACGAATTTTGTGGAAAAAGTGAAGAAACAAAAAACAAAATAAAGTTTTTGAAAAAACTATAACCAATAATTATTTAAGTATCCGTGATTAGCCCAACTTACTGTCATCTCGCAATGGACACGGTAACAGAAATACACGTGACAGGAAACATAGCAGGTATATCATAACTCATCATCAACCCATTTGAAGAGGATCAGGATCACATCAATAAAATAGAATACTTCAGTCCATATAATTTATTACATAAGTAAAATTGAAAGAAAATAGAAAGGCTGTAACAAAAAAAGGGTATAAAAATAGGTACGGCGGCACAAAACACTCCCTACTTAAGTACTAAAAACATGAGACCGACTTATTCCGAAAGGGCCGAGTCATAAAATATTTATAGGTCAGATTGGTATAAAAAATTAGACGAGAAGCACAGCTCGCATCGAGAATGACGAGGCCAAGGAGTTAAAGAACGATTCAAAATTTGAAAACAAGTGGTCAGGAACCAGAGAAAAGCTGATAAAAAGATGGGATGACGATGGAAGGAGGTCACATAGTCAGACATTTATATGTCCCATTGCTGGGTACGGGTCTCCTCTCAGGCGAGGGTTTAGGCCATAGTCTGCCACACAGGCCCAATGCAGGTTGGGGACTTTATTATCCAAGTCAAAGTCAAAGAATCATTCATTCCATAGGTAAAATAAACTTACACTTGGAAAATCACATTTAAGCTACCGCTCGTCCACTACGCTGACTTCCCTGAGAAGAACAAGCAAGGAACTCTAAGGATTGCTCTTCTGAAATATAGTTTAATTCTATAGAATACCTTTTGAATCAGATTTGTGTGGAATCTAGACTCATGTTGTCTTTCCATACATCTTTATCTAACACGAAGTCTTCCATTTTTGTAATACTATCCGGAATCTTATTGTAAAAACGTATACAGTTCCCCATCAAAGAGTCGTTTACCTTAGTTAAACGAAATCGTGGTACCATGAGTTTGGGCTTAGTTCTAAGGTTAATATTATGGATATCTTCTTTCTTATTGAAATTACGTATATTAAACGGGCATATAAAATATTTGAGTAAATGTACTGTAATACCACAGTCGTGATACCAGTTTCCTTAAACTTTTCTCTGAGAGAAGCCCGAGAACCTAAACGGTACACAGAACGAATCGAACGAACGAATGTCTACCGCTAAATAACTAACTACATTATATAAAAATGTGTATACATATGCCTTTTCATAAAATTGTAAAATATTATAGAATAGGGAGATATTTAGAATTTGATTACAATTAAAGAAATCACTAATAATTAATTAACAATTCACAAAATACGTAAATACAATATTATCACGGCTCTTGAATTAAACCACACTAAGCACGCCACTCCAGTAGCCGCCATGTTGAATTTTGCATAAACATGTTTGCCGTCATGATGATAAAGGATGAGACAATTGGCGTAAGATACTCGACGATTATTGCCCCGGCTGCGCCAGTCGCTCAAGGGCCATTAATTTTACGTCACTGTTTTCAAGCGAAATCAAAACGAATAGGCAGATACTTGAAACTAAGTATAGAAAAATGCAATCATAGTATTCGAAATATGTACTAATGTTAGGTAAATGTACGAAAGAAATTCATAGAGGACGTACAAACGTAGACGTGGCAACGTGGATGTGGAAACGTGGACGTGGAGTGGAAATCTAGGTAAAGCAGAAGATGAACGAAAGCATATTAAATGCTATAGATATGAGAGCATTGCAATACGTATGGTGTAAGTGTTATATTTGACAAATAAGTGGAGAAAAACATACAATTTAAATTTATTGTAATAAGAAAGCACGTGCTGATACATTTGACATAGATATTTTTTTTTCACGATATCTTTTTAAAGTACTTTAATGACTCTGGCACCTTATACTTTAGTAAGTCTTAGCTTCATAAGGCCTCATGTTATACAGACCCATACAATATTATTTTTATGATCACGTAAACGGCCAGTGTACACACGCCAGCACATCAAGCTACACACTGACGTACCTTGTTCCGTTGCACTGGAGGCGATTTTCGAACAAAAATGTGTAGTCTGGTGTGCCGTTGTCCGTACATTATTTAGCACTATGTATTCTATTTATGATCACAGGATATTTAGAAAATTACTTTTAAAAATCACTGTTGCGTTTTTCATGCAAAATTGAGTGCCTACTTGCTATATTTAGTACATTTTAATGTATGAGTAGGTACCTACATTGGGTTAGGTTTTAGGAATTTAGAAACAAAACGAGGAAATATTATCACCAATTATAAGTTTCTTACCATGGCATCTTTTTGTTTTCCCGATATTTCAGGAAGATAGGAGTAAACCATTCAGTTTAACGTGTGAATGTAGTGAGTGTGAAAAGAGAGAATGATTGTGGTAACGTTACATATTGTAATCGTGATGTGGGTGGTAGCCGACAACGAAAGAGGATAGACAGGTATATCTGTTCAGCTGTTATCTGCCGCTATCCAGTTAACCCGTGACCATGGAGTGTGTAACCGATTCCAAATATCGGGAAAACAAAAAAAAACTCATACCGTGATAAGAAACTTGTAATAAATGATAATCGTTTAGTATTTTTTTAGTAACAGTAGAGTTCCCCGTGAAAGAATTCATCAAAGGAAGTATTAACTTACCTGTTTCTGCCGCCTAGCACTAAATGTGAGCATTATTCCAAAGTGGTGAAATTACAGACACAATCCGAGCCTTGTCAATGTATCAGGGTAATGGCCGCAATGGCAATGCCCCTCAGATATTTGTGATTTAAAGCTGTGTATGGCACTGCAACTGTTATGGACAGGCGTGTCCTTACCACCAGGCGCACGGCTTGTTCGTTTCGTCACTTGGTATTAAAAAAAAACAACCATGACGAGGAATAACGAAATAAGAGAGCGTTGTGAAAGTAGGCTAAGATACAAAAAAACAATGCTTCAATAGTGTAGTTATATGGAAAGAACGAAAGTTAATAGAATAATGACCCAAATTTCTAGAGTGCTTCAGTAGAGAAACATCCGGAAAGACCGACCTCGAAGTACAAATCTCAACCAGACGGATATCCTTAAAAAGACTTGGCAAAAATACTGAGAGTAAACACACAGGCGTATGACAAGCGTGAAGTGAAAGAGGTATGGCCGGAAAAGCGACGATCAAGAGACAGGCGATTCAGTTGATAAATATTTGTCTGGCTAGATATTCAGTACGGAAATGGATGTATTGTATTTTGTAGATTAGGTTTAGGAGTAGATCACAGTCACTCGTATACTATCATGATTTACTCAAAGTTGACTTATCCCAATTCTGCTTAAATCAACAATTCCTACCATTGGTATGTTATAGACACATGTCTATAACATACCAATGGTGCGCTCGTCCTACCGCAAAATGGCGGCTATTTGGTTTCGCAAATTAGAAAAGGATTCAGTTTAAATACAAGTTTTTATAAATAAAAATTAATATTCTGCATTGCTAAATAAATACCCTCCACACTGCAACAAAAACATCTCAAATAAAATGCAGTAATACACCGCAAATCCTGCACTTAAAAAGCACTAATGAAATTTTTGGTGTACTTGGGTAAATATGATAATATTCCGTTTCAGTGGTTCTAATGTTTACCATGAAATTACTCCTTAAAGTATAGTTTATAAACATTTATATTCAGGGTAAACTTAAAAAACGCAACTTACGGTATGTTTTCAATAAATAAACACCGACATCACCAGCCCAAACAATAACACACACGATTGTCATGACGTATTTTTGAAGTTGTTTATTTTTTTAAATGACAGACCCAGGCATTAAAAACTTTATGGTTTGCTAGAGTAGTTACCGAAATAGCAATTAGTATTAGTGCTTTTACCTGTTATAACTTCGATATCTGATAAATCGGTATAAAATCATCACCGGCACCTTAGGGTGTGGTATGCTTCCCGAGACGCATGAATCGCGTGAGCGGATAACAATAGTATTTTATGCAGTCGTTGCATGATGAGGGTTCCTAGTGGCCTAAGTAATACGAGATTTGAAGACTTACTTAGGAATACTTTTTCTACGAGTAAATAGAACAATGAAACACAACCAATATTTCATGTATATTTTGTTAACAATCCACAACAACAAACTTAAACAAAAGACAAACAATCGCTACAAAACAAAAAATCAAAGAGATAAAATAGAAGTGACCAATTACCGCTCATATTTTAACCAATATTTTTTTATTATTATAAAGGTTTATAGCCCAGTTGCGAGACTTTTAGGCCAATTTATCGAATTAGGAGGCAGTAGAGCGTTTTGCGTTTCATATTGGATATTTTAAAACATTTGTCATAATTGAAATTTAGCACAAATACGACGTTCTTTTTTGAAACTCGTTATAATAATAACGCACACACTCAACATAACCCCGCACTAGGGAAACCCTGTGTCGCGGGTGCCATGGACACACACATAGACAACCACAAATTACACCCAAACTCACGAGAGAAATAAATGCCTTGTATGGCCTACGCCATACAAATATTTCTCCCGGCCCGGGAATCGAACCCGGGGACCTCTGCGTGGCGGTCCGGTATGGTAACCGTTCGGCCACGGAGGCAGTTATAGTTCTATGTACAGAACTATCCCAGAGATTTTTAAATTACTGGTGTTTGTGATGGTAGCAAAGGTTAATTAATTCCTTATTCTTTCTTACAGGGGTGTAGCAGTAGACGATCAAGGCTATATCGTGGTTGCTGACTCCGGTAACAACAGGATCCAGATCTTCCATCCAGATGGCACGTTCCTCAGGGCCTTCGGGTCCTGGGGTAGTGGAGACGGAGAGTTCAAGGGCCTGGAAGGCATTGCTGTTATGTCTGGAGGAAATATTATAGTTTGTGATCGAGAGAACCATAGGGTTCAAGTTTTTTAAGGTAAGATAGTTTTTACAAACCAATTACCATCTGTCAAACTAGAAAATTCCGTGTACTGTGGCTACTATGAAACGGAAATCAATTCAGAAAGACCCCATGCGTCCAAAGTGTTAACCGCTGAGTCAACTTGGTAAATTAGTATTATTGATGATGTCACATGGATTCCAACCTGTACAACTCTCAGTTAAGAAGTTTAATTTTTTTCATTCATTCTCCCAAAAATAAAACATTAGACCTAACACATATCAATTGTAATCCAGTACAAGATCCCTTAAAACCCGTAAATACCTTTTCTATAGATGTCTTTTCGCCCATAAATTCATCACCATTTACGTTTTTTATTTTTTGATAATGCTACCAATATATTTTAGTATTATAATTAGTAATACAAAGATCGAACACTTAGAAAAAAATCCTTCGATCCAGCCGGATTCAGCCGGACGCTATGCCAACTAAGTTTAGTTTACACAGCGTCTGACACGGTTTGCTAGAAGACTCGTTTCGTCGGTTTGAATTGTTATGAATCCGGCCGAATCGAAGAATTTTTTTCAAAATTCGATCTTTGTATTAATAATTATAACAAACGAGTAGAGTAATTTCACAAAAAAATGAATGTCAATTCAATACAAATTTAATATTTTAGTGTTGCCATTTTGTTTTTTTATTGATTATACCGAAATGGAGTCGGTAATGAATTTTTTTAATCTGATAGTTATTGCCATTGACTTACAAATAAATGGACGACGGGTTTAATACAAAAACCACGAAAAAAATGTCCCAAGTCAACGTATTTAAACGTGGTGACATGTAAAGTAATACGAAAAAGCTAAAACGTTGAATTTAAATTGTAATGTCATCGCAGTACTGTCTAATTTTGCTTGCTTCGCTGTCAGTCGAACAAACGAAGACTAAAGCGTGAATGACGCTCTGTATACGATTTTAACGCCCTATAAGTTCGGACACTTTTTAGCGCGGACCCGACGTCCATATAATTGAAAGTCAATGGTTATTGCAAGTATTTTGAACTATATTCTAGTTATTTTCTATGACAAGCTTATTAAATTCATTAAAATAAAAACGTAATTTACTTTGTTTCAGAGCAAACCCTTCACTCAACAAATATTGCCTGTATATCAAGTATAAAAACACCATTTTTGTTAAAAAAAGAACGATTTGAAAAGCTCCTTAATTCTTCGTAAATAAATATAAGCTTTCAACCTTTTTCTTTTTTACAAACGAGCTTCAAACCTTATCTTCTGTAGCACTAAAATAAAAAAGAGCTGTTTGAGAATATTCAATCAATTTCAATGCATGAACCACAGTCGCAAAGATTTCGAAAAAATGTCACGGTAAAAGTTAGAAAATAAAAATTTATCGAATGGTCTATTTCATCACTGTCACACCTTATCGCGGAAGACAAATGGAGTTGTGATCAATGGAATGATTTCGCCGTGACAGGAGGCTTACCCTCTCATTCTTACGCTAAGTCGCTTCTAATAAGTCCAGCTATATAATGTGACTTGTTCGACACGAAATTTGTGAACGACGGTTTTGTTTAAAAATAATTGGCCTGAATTTTTGTCGCGATTTTGAGAATAAATATATATATATATATGTACTCACGGCTTTGAAAGCTATGGTAGCCTAATGGTTTAACCTACTGTTTCTCTAGCAAAGGCCGTGGGTGAAATTTAATTTTGCATTTCAAAACCTGTGAAGTCGCCTTCATTTTGCCAGTGTGGCACACTATGGCTTAAACCCTCGCCTGAGAGGAGGCCCATGCCCAACAATGGGATATATAAATGGGTTGATGATGATGGTGACTGACATCTTAGATTCTCATTGGAGTAGTCAGAAATGATAGATCACCAATTTTCCCGTTTCTGACAAACCTCTCTTGCTGCTGTTGCTTTACTTACATTTATAATTATTTTAATACAAGTCCTCCTATTCTTCTTACTCCGCATTTCAGCATTTTTAAGAATATTCTTTAAGCTTGTCTAGTCATACCAAACTCTGACAAGGCGTATAAACTTTTCCTTTGCTAATCGTGGGAACCAAATGTCCAAATATAATTTTCAAATTTTTTTCACATTTACAAAAATATATTTAGAAATCTCAGAACGATTTCTGGACGCTGAAGAGTGCAATTAACTAGTGTACAATAGAATTCTTTCTAAAGTCTCCGAGAGCGTAATAAAAGAGTAAAATTTAAAGTGCTCTATAAAACGTCTTTCTCTCAGCGATTTGTCTGTCGTCGTCGTACACAGCATGCTTATCTCCAGTTTTATGTTCTCAGGCGTTCATAATATAACTGGAATAATAATTTCCGAGCTATCTTAAAAAAATACGTATATTTTTCTGCGAATGCAAATGATTAATTTATCATCTCTGGCCAAACGTTTGACGGCACAAATTGTTTTGGAATTTATTCTTATTGTCCAATTTGAAACTTTGTAAACAACATGATGTTTAAATTTTGCATTTATGTTTTATGAAGTGAACAATGTAATACGTAAATACAATAGAGTTAAATTTTTTGTTAGAGAAAATTTTAAATATCTTATTACGTCGATCGGCAAAATATCTTTACGATGAAAAACATCTGTAATTACGACAAAAGAGAATACCACAGCAAAGCATTTGAACAATCTATATTGGAAATTTTCGAGTTTCCTTATCAATTTCTTCTCGAATTTTCACCTTTTGCTTGTTTTAAATAGAATGAAATTATAATGGAAAAAATTATTAAACGATGTTTTGAATTAACCTATAGGACAAAGGATTCAATACGGTTTTCAATTACCTTTTTTCATTTCTATCAGTTAATATTTAAAAGAGTATCAAAATCTAACATGATGACCTTTTTCATTGCAAATTGCCTTGTTTGACTTTATTATTACAATAGTAATTTTGTTTTTCTACTCTTTTAAATTTAAGCTCATGAGATATTTTATCTATCTATATATTTATATTACATCTATCTAATACAAGCTCACAATCTAGAGTTAATTGTTCAACTCTTCTGTACCGAGGTCTTCCATACTCGTCCACGATAAGCATTAATTCAAAATAAAATGTTATCTTAGGTTAATAAAAACTTTAGAGTAGTCATTCAACTTTTTTTTTATGATAACAAGTCGTGCGACTGTAAACGACTTGACTATCCAGTTTTCAGTTGAAGTGCCACAAGTGAGCTTTAAATTGCAAAGATCTGAAATGCACTGTCACTGTTCCCGTTACTACAATAAATTGATTGTACCTGTGACTTCACCAGCACCTACCGGAAGGCAGTAATGCTCAAATTGCAGCTTGGCAGCAAAAATAGGCATGATAGCAGATGAACTCTTTCAAAAGAAGATCTACTGCTACTAGACTGTATTTTATTTCCTATATTAAAACAGTTTTTATTATTTTTAGGTTTACTTCTTAACTTTTTTTCATAGTGCTGCGTCCCCACGTCATCTTTTGTTCATTCGTAGTGAACGAGCAGTAGCTTAAATGTGACGTTTTCAAGTGTAAATTTATTTTACCTATGGAATAAATGATATTTGACCTTGACTTTGACTTTCATAGTTGCTATTTATATTACGCACTCTGTAATATTTTGTGATATAACTACTCTATAGTTTTCTTAATCTAAGAATATATATAAACGTAGAATTAAGTACAACTTACTCTATACATGTACTTGAATTAGTGCTGCAATAATGATATCTAGTCACTGTATTTACTTACTATACTTAAACGGTAATGAAGAAAGATTTTTTCAAAATAATTAATGTCAAAACTTCTTGCGAATATTTCAATGTTACTTATTAGGTTTTTATTTAACTATGAAATAGAACTTTACACCAAAAGAAAATTATGACAAAATAATTTAGTCAAACATATAATAAATATTGTTGTGAATTGTGTAAAAACGAATCATTAAAATAATATTGTAATTAACATACTCGCAGCTTTGCTTATGAATTTAATAATTTTATGTATTATAATTATTATTATTATGTAAAATGTTTATTGTGTACATAATTCGATTACTGTACTTTAAATAATTTAAGTAAAAGCAATGTAATGTCAACATTACGTTATTTCAATACGATTTGTATGGTTTTCAATTTTTTTTAATAAAAACATTTGTTACAAAATGGTATTTCATTTTTCGTGCGGTTATTTCGGGTTTTATTGGATAAGTATTGGAATAGTTACCTATTTATTAAGCTGCTGAGCCTTGAACATCGCCGTAAACTTGCCTACTTATGCCTATAAACTTTCCATCAGCGGACCACCCATGCCGGACTGCGTTGCCACAGTTG